TTTCTCTGCCGGTTCCCTGACTCAGAGGAGGACTTGGGTAGAATTCACCTTCAGACAAGAAAAATTTGGAAACTTTCTACAAAGTCAATACGCAGCTAAGCAGAACCCAGATGAGTGCCATTAAGAAGCCCCATGTCTTTCAGCTGATTTCAGCTTGGGGGCCTGAGTAATGTTTTGTGGCAGCTGAAGAGTCACAGTGCTGCTGTCTGGAGAACCAACTTGAAAATGAGAGTCCTCTGTCTCAGGGGAAGGGCAGGAAGAGGCAAAGCCAACTTGCATGCCCTCTCACATCCAGCAAAGAGGGGCAAGAGGGGAGGAAAGAGGCTGCCACAAATGCATTTGAAGCAATGCAGACTCCTAAAGTCTGAAGCCAAGAGAGACCACAAGCTTGCTTCCTTCAGGGTATTGCCCTTCTTCTAAATCCTAGTGTGCAGTGGGCAGAGAACAAAGATACCGAGGTCCAGTGCCTGGTCACGGTCAGCTTTGGCTGGTCTTGTCCGGCTCCCATCCCCTTCTTGCCATCTGATGGTGTTTTTTCAGCAAGGCTGACTCAGCAGCTATAATGATGAGGTTTAGACGAGTCCTGTGAGAGACTTTAAGCGCACAGATCCAGACAAGTTCATCTTTTGAGGGCTTGGAGGGGCTCTGGACAGGCAAAGTGAGGAATCCTCAGGAGACCACGGCTTAACACTGGAACTGCTTGAGCTCCGCATGTCAGGGCATAAAAGTCCTTTCTAGTCAACATCTAGGGTTTCTTATGAGCCACATCATTAGTGGTTGGGGTTTTTTAACATTATATTATCCTTCTCTTTCTCCTTGGCTTTGATCAACAGGGTCTTGATGATGGAATTGGCGTCAATGCCACAGCATCCCTGTCTAAAGTTTTGATCTCGGTGAATCAGAGCTATCCATTAAAAAAGATACCAGGCTGATGAAATTACTTTTACAAAAAAACATGTCTATGTCAGATGTTGCAACTTGCCAGCATGGCAGAGAGAGATGACGACCTCTGGAGTGAGGCCATGTCAGACACCTCACCTAGGATGGGACAAATCACCCCACCTGGGCACACGAGCTTCTGGACTCCACCTCCCCAGCTGCAGGCAGAGGTACAGTCCCATCTCCCTGCCCCCTGCATGAGGATGGGAAGATGGAGGAAGGGAACAGAGGATAAATATACTTTACATGTTACCAAAGGAGGGCAGAATAATCTAGAATCATCTCTCTGGCTGGCTTGGAGCTCAGTGGCACTTAAGGATGGACCTGAAAACCTGGGAAAAGTGTTTCTCCTTTTGGTACTGTTCCCGTTTGTTGCAAGGACAAGTGTGGAGCTGGCAGCAAAGGATAATTGTGGATGCACAGAGACAAATGTTGTCAGAGAAGCAAGAGTGAACACAATCTCTCGCCACCACTGCTTGAAGGTCTGTGTTTTTACTGCAACTTCAACAGTGGGCACTGCAGTATCCAGGGTCTGCATAGTGACAATATGCAGGGGACACTATATGCCAAGTTGTGCAAGTTTGCACTGTGTGATGGGCAGCCCGTTCTTCCCAGGACAGCCTGGACTGCATCTCTCATCCATCCAGAGCCATTCTGGCTCCTTGCTGATGACTGTATTTATTGTGTTTCACTCCTGGCATCAAGGACTTGAGCAGAAAATCAACTGTGACTTGCACAGCAAGAAAGGAAGAGAGAGAAAGTGTCACAAGATGGGGAACAGGCAACAAGGCCCTGGGCCCTGCTGGGTGAGTCCCGTTCACCTGAGTATAAAATAGATCTAGGAATATCTGGAAAGCTTGTGCCAACCCCAGCAAAACACAAAGCAGATGGAAAACTGCCTTCCCTCGAAGTCCTCATACCCTCTCTACCCTCACCAATATCAGGGCTCACCCTTTGCCTCTTCCAACCTCCTGCAGGTGTTTCTGCTGTCCCCTCCATTGCCTTCTTCAGTAATTTGTCATTCAAATGGCCTTCTAATGCCTGTAAACACAGAAATTGGCACCTGGACAGCAGGAAATCTAGGAAATTAGCACAAGGGACGCTTCTGGGCTTGTGGCCAATATATAGTCCTAGGAGCCACTGAAAGCATGGCAGAGTCAAGCTCTAGAAAGCAGGAAGAGTGTCACTGGGTTGGCATAAAGCGACTCCTAGTCCATTCAGGGTAAGTGACAGCAATGCACTAGTCTGCCTTGTGTAAACCACGGGGAATGGAAAAGCCAAACTCCTTGCAATTCTGATTTGGGCACAAACAAGCCCAGATCTCAGCTCTGTTCAGGGACCATTTAGCTGCTCTGAGGAACAACATGCAGCTGTTCTCTGTTTTTTAAGCCCATCCTCATTTTTGCCACCTTGTGTGGCTTTTTCATGCCCATAGAGCTCTGGGTATTGGTCCATGCACTTTGACCGCAAGGCTCACTAACAACAGAGACACGCAATGTGTGCCCTGAGACTAGCACCAAAACGGGAGTTTCCTCAGCAGCCACTGCACTCAGCAATCCTCCTTCTGGCTTTCCTCTGGGTTTTGGAGTGGTGCTAATCCCATGGCCAAGCCAGGCTGAGCTCCTCTCTGCTACTCTGCTTCAGCTTTGGGTGTGGGTTTGAATCCCTCAAGACATTGGATGATGCTTTTGGGTAAGTAGGAGAGGATGGGTCCTGCTTTGGACATGCAGGACCTCAGAAAATCCTTCAGCACTGGCATGAAGGGGACAAATCCTAGCAAGTGTGAAGAAAGCAGCTGGCAATGCTCTGATCACTCACCTGCACGTGTGGCTGAGTATAAACTCAAACTGGACATGCACGCAGGCATCAGGATTGTCAAGGCTGTATCTAGCTTACCAAGGCACTTAGGAATCCCAGCACGGGGCTTCTTGCTTCATCCTTTGGGCAGGACAAAGTATTTGCACTGAAACATGCCCAGCACCTCTGCAGAGGCTGATGCTGGTCATGGAGCAGTCAGATCCGCTGGGATCCCAGGGCCATGCCACACAGCATCTCCTGCCCAGAGATGCAGCTGGTACTGACAAGTCAGTCCCCATCTCAGTGCCAAGAGTGAGTGGTTCACTAGTATGCATCTATGCCACATCTCTCTGACAGCCCCAGCGATGGATTTGGAAGAGACAGATCACAAATGCAACAGTGTGGGCATTGCCCCTCCCTGTCATTCACGCAGGAAGAAATTGTCTGTGGCAGAGGTAGAAAGCACCCTGTGAAGTTATTGCAGGTGGACTTCAGATACTGCCACACTGGCTGCCCAATCTGCAGCACCACAGTCTCTCTGGGATGTGAGCCATCCAAGCATCCTCAGCTTCTTCCCATGGTCACTGTTCCCTCCTCATGAACCATCAAGCCCAGAGCCAGGCTGGGGCTCAGTCATGGCCCTGCTGATGTTCTCCACTCCTGGCCTGCAACAGTCCCTCCCTCTGTATGTGGGGTTGTTTTGTGAAGCTGAGCACCAGTCCCAGAGCTGTGAACCCTACCGTGGCCAGCGCAGCCTCTAGTGCATGTTCCCAGGACTTTGGTACAGCCATGGCACCGCTCTTGCTCTTCTTTGGCTCACACTAGATGCTACCTGCACAGTCTTGCACGCATAAACCTCAATACCTCCACAATCCCCCCGAAGGGAGGAGCACAGAAGAAAATCTATAGTTTGATGAGGAAAAGGGACTTCCTCTCAAACTCTCTGCACAACCCTGCCATGACCTGGAGTACCTGCAGAGTGCACAGGGTGGCTGTCTGCAGTCTGAGGAGAACACAGCAGGTGCTTTACGGTGTTTGTGTGTGGCATGGGGACACCTAGACATCAATGGGTTTATTGTCACAGCATCCCGAAGTCAAAGAAGGGGGTCATACAGAAGACGAAGTCACTTCACCCCATGAAGCACTGGTGGCACATCCAGGAATGGACGCCAGCTCTCCACCTGAGCTGCGTGTTTGGGGAGATACATCCTATTTCATTAATCCAAGCCTGAGCGCTGCTCCACTCTGGAGCTACCTTCTGGTTTGTTGATCACAAAGCCGAAACTAGTTATCTGTGCGTATCAGAAGAAAAATGGCCCTGCCCAACTTCCTGGCATTGCTTACTAACGTTCCTCTACCTGCAACCCGGAGCCCTCAGCATCAAGGGGCCTGGCTAACATCTCCTGCTATTCCGAGCATCCTGAAATATGAACGATGTTGGGGCACAGTTTGAGCATTAGCAGAGCATGTTTCGTGCAAGGAAACCCTTTGCTGGCACCAGTTAAGGATTGCATAACCACGTCGCGTATGTCTTATTCATTACTGTCGTGTTAAATGCTCAGCTTGCTTTGAGATCACGGATGACTCAACACCCTTTTAATTTTTCAGCTTCTTAGCTGGTTAGCGTACCTCACCCCTTGCAGATGACAACCATGTAGGAAAAAGAAATCTTTATTTTATATTTTTTTTTCATATACTTGTACACAAGTAAAATAAAATGCATATCTATATATACTGCAATCTCGTGGAGGAAGAGGTAGCATTCTTTAACAAATGCCGCCCGTAAACATGGTGTGATGGAATGAATACGGAAAAAACTGCAATATTCATAAACATAGGATTAAAACAGCATCAAATTCATTACCTCTGCAAATGGGAACCTGCAATATTGTTCAGTGTGATGTCAAGTTACAGACAGATTTTAGACATTCTTTTCAGAGCATTTCTTACACTTTTTTTTTTTCTCCTGTAAATAAACCATATTTCTTTACCATCTGCTGTAGCAAAAAGCTGCTTTGTGGGCAAGTGCAGTTCCGAAGACCAAAGGTATCATTCACAGGTTTCAGGACAAATAAATTATGTACATCTTGGTGTTTGTCTTTTGTTTGTTTGTTTGTTTGTTTTTTATAAAGGCATCCAGTTAACTTTTTGTGTAACAAAGCTTTCTCAGGGTGGATGGTAGTTTTGCTTTTGTTTTGCAACATTTATGGAGGTCAGCAAAAGTCTAGTATTAAAGTGTCATCAACCCAGGAAAAGAGTTAATTTTAGCAGAATAACAGTAAGCTCCACACCAAGGGAGGGATCAAAAGGCTTAGGCTGAGCTGTAACGTGGAGCTGTTTCCTTGCTGGGTGAGGCGGCACTGAGCCTTTGATTTGTTCTTTTTAGAGCAGCCCTGCCTTTTTTTGGTTGGGACTGTGGAAGGTCCAATAGGCTCTAGAAACTCTGGTTTCAACTTGGTCAAGGGAGGGTCTACAATGCTGGGGAAGGTCCCAAAGGGGGAATCGTTTATCTGCTTGTTGCTGCTATTTTTGGAAGGGTCCGTCTCGATGTACTTGGTTTTGGACATATTCTCCTTATCCTTCAGGGGGTTGTTGGAGGACGGCCGGCTGCTGTGTGAGGAAGGACCTGACTTCCCTTTAGCTTCATAAATAAAAGACTTATCAATTTCTGGCTGGCAGCACTTCGGGGAGCCGTTGTGGGAAGGGAGAGGGGGGAGCCCGGTTGGCAGTTTACCGGATCTGGTCTTAGTGCTAAAAACGCTTGTTCGTATCTGGTTGAAGGAGTCGACGCATCCTTCCAAGTCGGCGCTCTGCAGCCTTTTGAGGTCTCTCCCCGCCAAGCGTGGGGGAAGGTGGCACTCGAGCTCCGAAGACGATCCTTTGAACTGCTTAAACCAATTCCAGAGGGACCGAGCCTGGCAGTCGCAGATCCACTGGTTGCCGTTCAGGCGCAGGTACTGGAGGGAGACCAGGGGAGCCATGGTTTCCCCCGTGAGCACCGTCAGGTTGTTGTTAAACAGATACAAGGTCATCACTTTCCCAAGGTCGTGAAAAGACCGGCGGGGGACCCCGCTCGGTGAACCACGCTGACTCGGTTCTGGTGCAGCAGCAGCCGGTCAAGGTTGATCAGCCCGCGAAAGACGTTCTCTGACAAGCTCTTGATTTTGTTACCATGCAAAAACAGGTAGGTGAGGTTTGCGAGATCTATAAAGGTGTCATCCAGCAGGTTCTGCAGGTTATTATCCTGAAGGTAGAGATACTGCAAGGAGAACAATCCTCGAAAAAGCCCTGTGGAGAGCTCCAGGAGCCCACAGCGATCCAGGTGTAAGGTGTGGAGGTGAACAAGACCCCGAAAAGTGACAGGGTTGATATTTTTCAGGTTCGTGTTGTCACTGAGATCTAACTCCTCCAGTTTGTTGAGCCCATAGAAGGCTCCAGGCTCAATGAGGCTGATGTTGTTGGAGTGGATCCAAAGAATCGTCATGTTGCGGCAGGAGGTGAAGCTGGTGGACCTCACAAGGGTTATCTTGTTGTTGTGCAAGAAGATGCGCTGGCTCTGGATGGGTATCTCAGTGGGGATTGCCGTCAGTCCTTGCTGCTGACAACTTATTGTAATCTTCGGCTCACTGTAGCATACACACGCCCCGGGGCAAGACTCCACTTCTGACTGGATGTTCAAGCAAAGCACCAAAATCAGCAGTTTGCTTCCTAAAGGATAACAAAAATAGTACGCAAATTAGCCAGGGTCACGGGGAGGGGGGCGCTTTTCTTTGCAACTAATAGATGAGCCTGAGAATCACCCTCCTAAGCGCGCTGCCGCTAACCACAAACAACATATGCCAGGGGAGTCAAACAATTAAAACGCAGAATTAAAAATGCTCTACCGCTCAACACGATAGCTGAAATCAATATACACTTGTAGTGACAAAGTCCAAGCACCTCCTCAGCCTTTCACATGTGGGAGGCCTCTGACTTCGGGGGGCAAACGAGAGCGATCGTCACTACGTATTTGCATCATGGGTCATGAACGCACATCTGGCAGAAGCCCCATTCCAAAGAACTTACCTCAGAGGAAAGGGGCCATCTTCTGGGGGGACATTTGTCTCTGACAGAGGCACATTTAGCACAGTTCAGCCTAAGGGAAAGCATCTGCCCAGCTATGACCAGTGTCTGTGGCTGTGGGGTTCTACTGGGCAACTCCGCGTCCCACTCCAGCAGTGCCGCCAGCTCCTTGCTTTTCAGGATCGTTGAGCAATTCTCCAAAACAAGCATGTGTCCGCCGGATTGCACTCAAAATGTAAGACAGAGGTGTGGCTTTTGTGGCGTTCCGTGCACAATTTTAGACCAATCTGGTCTTCCTGTAAGAAATAACTATGAGGGATTCCCAGAATAGCTTACAGGTCAGATCTGCCTGTAGAGGTCTTGGAGCCAAGAGCATCCTCTTCTTCTCTTGGCAAAATCTTTATATTAAAAATTCTCGTTTCCCTTCCTCTCTTCCCTTTTTCCCTTTGAAATCTATGTGGGCACCAAAGAAGAGCTGCAAACAGCACAGTTTTCCACAGAGGGCAGTGCTGTTGTTGGAGGAAGAAACGTGCAATGCTTGATTCAGGAATTCCTTAAACTTTGCAAGGCAGAAGTAGACTTTGTGTATCGAAGCGCGCAGGCAGCCCACCAGGGCTGAAGAGCCCATGAAGGGAACTTTTTCATGGCGATGACCACCCCCTTCCCCATGAAACCGCACGGGAAGCGGCTGGATTCATCAAATTCACCAGCCCCAGTTGGGCTGCTGGGAAAGGGCCTGGAGGATGGGCAGAGATGGGCAGAGGCTGTGCAGCCAGCATCACCTTCTGACGGGGCACCTGGGAAGGAGAGAACCTCCAGCTGAGAGAGCTGCTGTTTCGTACCCACAGTGAGGAAGGCGGGCAAGAGAGGCGTTTTCTTTCCAGCAGTGCTTTACCAGCAATTAGCAGCAAGTAATTAGATTGCTTCCTCTAAAGTGCAAACGGGAACTAAAATGAACGGGCAGCAACAGCAGCAGTGGGAGGCTCCGTTTGTGAAACACCACGTGCGAGCAGGGACACGTGCGTCTCCTTCCCCCCCATCACCACAGCACCTCTAAGCAAAAAGACACGTTCTTCTCCATCGCGGGCGATCTCCTTCCCCCCCATCACCACAGCACCTCTAAGCAAAAAGACACGTTCTTCTCCATCGCGGGCGATCTCCAGCCCAGAGACAACAGCAGCTGCTGTGGGAGGGTGTTTTATTTCTTCCTTGAAAGACTGAAAACCTTGCTCAGGCATGTTGATGCCTCGTTACACCTTATGGCAAAATAGCAGAGTTCAAAAAGTCAGGCAGAAAAGGGAAATGATGCAGAAGGGGATAAACTGGGGAGACTGGAGAGAGCCCGGTCGCATCCAGCCACGCGTTCAGGGTGCAGGCTCCCAAACCCCGGGGACGGCATCTGCATCTCAGAACAGCCAAAAACATGATCATGTTACTGCTGAAATCGCATCATCTCTGAAGCAGCAACTTCAAACCCCAACGATAAAGGATTAAATCACATGGAAACCTCACCAAGCTGTTTACTGAGGCAATCACAAAGGTGTCGGAGAAGCCAAGGTGGGAAAGTCACTTGTCTGCAAGAACAAGCTGGGATCTCAGGTCTGGGTTTCAGTCTAGTCAAACTAATTCACCACGTGCAGCTAATAAATCTGTGGTGATCCGATGGTCCCATACAGGCAGGAGACTCCTATTTATCATAGTCCGCACGGGACTAAAAAAATAACAGCTCAGCATGTGGGGATAATTTGAGCCTGATATTATTAGCTGCTGCGCGTCCCTGGAAGGCAGCGTGTTGCATGCAGTATTATGACACATTCTGGCTGGTTTGTCATGTTTTGACATATCACGTCCCATTGTATGGAGGAAAGGAATGTGAGACAACTGAAATCCCCTGCTAGAGACATGTCACACCAAGAGGACCCTCCTGGGAAATTAAAACCATGCCGGCGACTCTCTGACCAGCAACAATTCCTCTCCAGCTGGTACTGAAAACCTTGAGCCAGAGCAAATAGGACTTTCTGGAGCCTCTTTCTGCAGTTGCGTGGTTCAGGTGATGCGGGCTGGGGTGGCAGAGGAGCGATGGGATTCACCTCACCACAAGCACCACCCTCTCCAGAGCAGTGCTCAGACCACAGACACGGCTGCAGGCTCTAGGGCTCGTCCCACCTGCTCCTCCTTGCCTGGGCAATACTGCAGGGGCTACAGCCTGCTCGGGGAAAATCCAACCGCAGCCTAGATGTATCCCAAGTGCCTTATAAATGTGTGACACACACACAGCAGAGTGAATGCAAAGAACCATTCCTATGGGAGAGGAATTGCAATGATGCTCCTGTTTCAGCTCCAGCCAGGGGAGGCAAGTGCTTAATAAATATATGTATAGACAGGGAGAGAAAGAGAGAACACGAAGCTGCTGGTAGAGAACAAGCCATGCATATGAATGCCACCCTGCCCCATGCCACCCCCTCCTGACAGCCATGCTCCCGCACCTCCCTTGATGCTCATGTCCTGAGCATGCATCACCAGCCCTTTCCTATGGAAAGAGCTGAGCAGCAAGGTCCTGTCCCAGCTTCTGGGTGCAGACAGAGCTGGAGGCACACAACGGCTCCTCCCCAGTGCAGAGGAGCAGAAAGGAAGGGGCAAATCCTGCTCCACTCTGAACCACAGCTTTTCTCCTCCTGCTGCCGATGCTTCCACGGCTGCTGGGAGCCATGAGTCTGGCTGCCGGTGCAGCAGCAGCACAGGGAAATTAATTACAGGCAGGGCTGGCCTGTGTGCTTTAATTAGGGACCTGGTGTTCATGAGCTGCTCGGATTAGCTCCTTCCACCGGAGACAGTTACTGTCAATCATCCCCCAAAGCTTTTTTCCAGTTAGTTTCCCACTGTGCAGCTCAACCGTGTCCTGACTGATCCATGACGAGCTCAGCATCCAGCAGCCGTCAGAGGGTCCCCAGCCAGCACACAGCCTGAAGCAAGTGCAGCAGTCCACAGACAGCCGTGGGAAGTCAGGGTGACCCTTTCTGCCTGAGCCAGACTGGGGTGACCTGTGACAGAGACCAGAGAGACCTTGGCCTTTCCCCGCTCCTCCAAGGAGCTTCTCCATCACTGGTGTTCAACCTGTACCTGTGCCTTGTGCTCAGTGTGTCCCAGACCACAGTGGCCACCAAGGGCCACGAGCCATCCAGATCTTGCAAGGCCATCCAGACCTTGCATAGTTTCATCCGCCCAGGTCCAGGAAAATATTACCTTGCTTATTCTGACCAGGTGACAAGTGACCACTTTAGGACAGGGATGAGCACAAGGCAGGGTCCTGGGGCAGAAGGGTTGCTAAGACCTGGCATCAAGCCATGTTAGCACAGCTGCACAGTTTTGGGATGGTGTGAAGCACAGCAAAGCTTGCTCCTGTTTGCTTCAAACATACCCTCATATTTATAGGTAATCTCTTACTCTAGACCAAGCCCTGCAAGATTGAGGAAGGACAATGGTATTACTGGCCCCAGGCTGGAGCCCACTTGTGGCAAACAGACAACTCTTTTGGGGACCAACATCACAACATGAAGCACAGACCCAAGCCTCTATACGTCAGCACAGTGTGGAGCATCCCCTCACTGAGTCTTGGGGCCATAAAGTGGAGGAAGGAGCTGGAGCACTGAATCGGGGACGGTATCGCAGGGGTGTGCACAGGAACGGGGCACCCCAGCCCCCATCAGCCAGGCACCCTGGCACAAAACCAGGTGCTGCACCTTCTTCTGTTCTCCTCTCCACCTCCCCTTGTTCCTCCCCCTTTTTGATGACTTTCGCTTTTCCATCCTCCTCCCCTCTTTCACGACAATCACGTCCCAGGGTTTGGCCAGCCGAGGTGAAGGCAGCACCCAGGCAAACCCGTCCCTCCCCAGAGAGGCTGGGACACATCCTGGCAGTGCCCAGGGCCTGTACCCTCTCCTGTGCACCCTGCTGCAGCTTGAACTTCTTGGCACAAAGCGGAGGGGAAGAATGAAGACCTTCAGAGGATGGCCAGGCAAAGATCACATGGATGCAGCTTAAAACCTGCTGGGAATAGCATGTCATGGGCTTCTGCTCCTCTTGGGAGGCACAAATATCCATGATGCTGAGGTGTCCCAGTAGGTGCTTTCCTGAGCGAAAAGGTCAAAGCCCTGGTTGAGAGCAGATGACAGGAATCCAGAGGACCTGGGCAGAAAAAGCCCAGCCAGCCCACAGCCTGGCTGGCACAGGGAACCACCATCATTTGTTTCCCTGAAGAGCTAGGTTCAGCTCTGGCTGTGGGGTCCTTCCCCTTCCAGTAAAAACACACCCAGCCCTTAAGCCAGAAGCACAGGAGATATTCACTGGTGTCACAGTGGGGAGGGAGATCAGAAGGTTCACTGCGTGTTCCCAGAAATATGTACCAAGCACAGCTCCCGATGAGGAACTACAGCATCCTTCCCTCAACCTGCCAGATAAGCCCACCAGAGCTCTGTGTAGGGGGCTCCCACCACCACTGCCAACTGACAACACCAGACCCTCCACCACCTGCTCGACTCTTCCCCTGCAGGATTCAACCTCCGTGCTCATCCCTGAGAACATGCGTGTTCCCAGAAATATGTACCAAGCACAGCTCCCGATGAGGAACTACAGCATCCTTCCCTCAACCTGCCAGATAAGCCCACCAGAGCTCTGTGTAGGGGGCTCCCACCACCACTGCCAACTGACAACACCAGACCCTCCACCACCTGCTCGACTCTTCCCCTGCAGGATTCAACCTCCGTGCTCATCCCTGAGAACAAGGGCCTTGGTGTGACATCCATTCTCTCATCTCTGAGACCTTCTAGAACGTCTAGAACTCCCAAATGTCCAGAACGTCCCTCACCTCTTAGACCTTCCAGAAACTTAACTGGATAGTTCCAGTCAAAAGCAAATGATGAAAGAAAATCCAGTACTTGGAACCTTCAGTCCCTCCAAGACTTTGGCTTTGAGTTTAGCATTTGTTTCTCCAGAGCATTCTTAAAAGCCAGAAACCTCCTTCAGTCAAACTGCCACACT